TTCTCGCAAGTGTCGCCTGTGATGAGTGTCTGCGCATCGACATCAGAAATAATAAATTCACACAAGCTTTTCTTTTCACCATATTGGCATAACACTTCACATTTCCCCACGATAGGTAATTCCGAATGTCCATATGCATATGCCTTTAACGACGTGGGCTTGATTATTGGCTTTGCTGGCCACAAGCTTATCACTTTCTGAGGAAGCACATTAATCTGCGCACCAGTATCCAAATGTACAGACGTCTTGTTGCCATTTATACTTATCACAGCGGACCATTTGTCCGACCGAACGGTCTTAACAAGAACCTTATTTACATTGAAACCTCCTTCGAAGGATTCGTCGCCTTCATTTTCCGCTATAAGGTTTCTTATGCGTCTGGTCCTACAAACTGCTGCGAAATGGTTTAATTTCCCGCATGCGTTACATGTCTTTCTGTATGCTGGGCAATTACCATATGTGTGTTGCTGTCCACACCACTTGCATTCATTTCTAGTGTTTGCAATACTGGGTCCTGCTTTAGCTTTTTCTACTCGACTTCTATTTTTCTCCCAGGTATTTTTGTTAATCTTTTCAATCATGGCCTGTTTTTCTTCCCATGACGCTATTTGTACGCAAACAGATTCGGCAATCGTGGCTACAGAAATTGCTTTTGGTAGGGTCAACTGGGGATCTTCCAACAACTTCTTTTTTACTTCCTGATCTATCATTCCAATTATGAAACGATCCAGGAATTCACATTCCTGGGCGAGTTGTTTTAATTCCGTAACGAATTCAGTTATACCTTGCCCTTCCTTTTGTACGCTTGTGAAAAATTTGTTTCTAATTTGTATTATATTTTTGAAGGGTTTGAAATGTTTTGACAACATGTCGAGCATCTCTTTAATACTTGGGTAAGCTTCATTTTCTGTTACTCTGAATGTTTTATATATCGACACCGTTTTTTCACCAAGAATATGTTTCAAAATGGCTCGTTGACGTACCAATGGCATGCTCTCCAAGTCTGCAGCTATAGAAAAGATTTCAAATGCTTCACGCCAAGTTTCCCATTTCTTCTCACCATTATATGGCACAAATTCGGCAGGTGGCTTTATATTTTCCATGTTTTGTAATTCTGCTCTTTTCTTTTAGAGACCTAGACAAAGCTTAAAAACAAAATATCGGCTGCCGGCTGCGCCATGTTATGTTTTATGTTAAAAATACTAGAGGTGACAACCACTCATTGTCCGGTTGAAAGAATTTATTTCACCATCAAATAGTTCTCTTTTATACAGCGAGGAGTTTTACATATTGAAAGATCGCCATGGATTTGCATAGCGTTGAAAGATAAAATAATATTTACATGAAAATAGTTACAACATATCAAATAGACAAAATTTATAGTATATGATAATCCATCACATATCACAACAGGTTGATGTGTGTGTGTTGCTATCTTTAATTGATCATAATCCGCCAACCAATAATAGTGATATTATCTGATGTGTTTTATTGTCCGACACGGGAGAAGGAGAGAAAAATTTTCCTTCAAAAATTTGGTTATGAAAACAATTCGCAAAACACAAATTTGTTCTAATGAGAAAATTAGTGAAAAGCAAAACCAATGTATTAGCTTTCCACAAATTCTGGAGAAGAACACAGACAATAGGCGCAACACAGAAGAACCACCCAACTTGAAGAAAGATTGATGTTAATCTCTACTTTTTGTAGATAACGGCTATGTTTACCTCTGTTCATCCATCTAAGAGAATCCTGTATGGGACTAGTGTTCTTGATAAAGGCTTTTTGTTGTTAATATTATTTAATGTTCATGTCATTAGTTTATCAGATATCTACTTCTATGTGGAAATCAGCTTTACTCTGTCTCTTACAAGATATCAATGATCCTTTTGGTTGGTTACATTTACTTAAACTTACTAATAGGGTTGGAATCGTTAGAGTAGAAAACCGTTAACGATTTTTTTTACAGAAAAAGAGTGAATTATTATAGATTACACTCATATTCAAAAACTTCTACAAATATATTAAAGTGGAAACATCAGGTTTCCAGGAATATGTTTCCTTTTACTCTTTTAAAAAATCAAATATTTCTGCTATATGAAAGTTAAAGAGAGAATTGATTTTTTTAATGAAAGGGAACTTATCCCTTGATGTATTTACCTTAATATCGAATACATATGTAAAATTTAAACGATGAGGAACTCTTAAAAAATTGGTTAAACGAATAAGCATAAAAAAGATAAGAGGAGCTTCTTTTATAAATTTATTGTGCAAGCTTTCGGACTTACGTCCTTCTACAGGCATGGATAGTTGTAAAACTAACGCATATAACGCATATTGTCCTCTTTATAATGGCTCAATGATCGATTATATGCGTTAGTTTTAACACTATCCATGCCTGTAGAAGGACGTATAGTCCGAAAGCTTGCACAATAAATTTATAAAAGAAGCTCCTCTTATCTTTTTTATGCTTATTCGTTTAACATATGTAAAATCTCTATATATATAAAAATGAATGTTTGTATGTCTGTCTGTCTGTATGTCCGGTATACAAATTCGCAGTAGTTCACTAATTCAAACCAAAATTTCCATACATAGGTAAAAGAATACGGGGAAGACGATAGGCTATTTTAAAAAATATATAAATCAATTATTAAAACTATATATTTTTAGTCAGAAAATTATGATGACTATATTGCTGTATCATGTTTGATTATCAGATACAAAATTATATCGGGAAAAATTCCAAAAAGCAGAGACCACGGGTGAAACCAGTTCATTATTTTGTATGCAGGAACAAATTTCTAACAGAAAAAACATTCATTCGAGCAGAAAACAAAAGCCAGATCATCTTTCTATAAAAATATCGCTTCTCAGACACAAAGTTTGGAGCGGGACGTTTCACAAGAGTGACATCCACGGCGCCAATTTATAATTGTAACGAATAGTATTTGAATAGGGTACATTTAATAGGGTAAAACCCGGGCGTTGCCCGGGTCATTCGGCTAGTTATAAATAAAATACAAATTTCTGAGGGAAGAATTTATATATAACGGCAATACAAGCTTTCGGGCTCAACAGTCTATCGACAGGTATACCTACGTTACTGAGGTTTACACGTATTAAATATCGGTGCAAATTTTTCCGTGAGAATATTGATCTAATAAGCTGAAGGTAGTCTCTTCCGTCAAAATAGATACAACAAGTTGGACTATCTCTCGCCACCGGCTTTGAAAAACTAGCAGATCAGTCGGTGACAAAGCAAGCCACAACAGCAGTTATGGAAAATATAGGACACCCACCTGGAGACCATGGTTCAGGCTAATGACCCTCATCAACATTACCTATTTATAATGAAAGGAATGCAGTCTAATAGAAATTAAATCGCACCTAATTCTTCAATGCACGTAGAAATAAGTTTAATTCTAACACAGTTAAAATACACTAAATTTACCTTCAATTATTTATTTGCGATATATATATGAAAATAATAAAGAGTATATGAGAAAAAATGAGTATAATTAAGTTTTTATAATTATTTTTGAAGTCAATATTCTCAATCTTTAATATTTATTTAAAATGTGTTTATTGGAAATATTTAACAATGGAACCAAGCTTATAAATCGGCTTTGACACGTCATACGCTTGTCCAAATAAAAATAAAAAAATTGAGGTAATGAACCAGATATTCTTCAATCAAAAAGAATAAAGTAAGAGAGTAATCTAACCTTACCTTAATATAAATGCTAACATTTTTCTCTATGTATGTGTTCATCGGATTCAAATTCGCTTAAAGTGGTGTATAGAGAGACGAAAATAAATTTATTATATACTAGCCGAATGACCCGGGCAACGCCCGTGTTTTACCCGATTGAAAGGTTTTATTCAAATACTATTTGTTACAATTATAAATTGGCACCTTAAATAAATGCATATATCAGTTAATAACTATAGCCTATGTCCTTTATCTGTCTATGTACTGTTGGCTTCCGTAGGCGTCTCATTCTGGGAAAAGGAAAGAGAGGATTCCATTTAGTCATTAACTAATATATGCATTTATTTAAAGAGCGACCCGCTCCAAAACAATAGTTACAAAAACGAAAGAGCGAGTGGGGGAGGCATGATGGGGGGGGGCAAAGGTGGCGTGACCGTAGCCAACCAATAGGAGGGCGCCATTCCAAACAAAAAGCAAACGGTGACAGAGACGACTGATGAGGAATGACGCTCGTAACTGTATATAGAATTCTATTCTGAAGCTTTCTCTCGGATTTTGAAAACCCGTCTACAGGTGTATATGATAAAATGCTTTCATATTATCATATACTTCTGTATAAGGGTTTGTAAAATCCAGAAATCTTGATATCAAAATCAAAATATAATTTATTTTACCAATATTTCATTTGGCTGAACGCCAACCTTTTTTCCAAGGTATTATAACATCTTGAAGCTTCAAAAAGGTTGGCGTTCAGTCATCTGAAATATTGGTAAAATAAATGATATTTTGATCCAATATATACCTTTTTAATCAAAGATTTATTTATGGATTGCTCTATTTTCAAAATAGTAAAGTAAGACACTTATCCTCTGTACGAATTCGTTTTATTCATTATTCGAGATATTGCAGAGTATTTTACATTTCCGAAACAATAACATCACAAAAACGGCGCAAGAAAGACCTCAAGTTAAAATATCAACTTAGCACCCTATATCGTTGAAAATCATAAATATATTTCAAGCGCCATTTTTTAGAACTTTATATTTAAAATACATTTATATATCCTTCTTATACTGCAATGATAAAAATTGAGAGAGGATATGCATCATGGCTCATGCAGAGAATATAACAATAGTGTCTAATACAATATTGATTGGTCTGGATATTAAAATGGTGAAACACCTGGGAGGATTCAACACTGACAAGTCATGTCTTCCTTCTTTCAATCTTAATCATTAATATATACAGTTATCAGCGTCATGCGTTCTTAATTCTGTCATCGTTTGCTTTTGGTTCAGTGGTAGAATGCTCGCCTGCCACGCGGGCGATTCCCGGCCGATGCATTTTTTTTTTTTTTACAATTTTTAAAACTCATTTATATATTATAGTGGCGGGGGCGCCCCGGGTTCGATTCCCGGCCGATGCATTTTTTTTTTTCACAATTTTTAAAACTCATTTATATATTATACAAAATTGACATCCACGGCGCCAATTTATAATTGTAACGAATAGTATTTGAATAAAAGCATTTAATCGGGTAAACCCCGGGCGTTGCCCGGGTCATTCGGCTAGTTACAGTATATGGGCTGTAGAAATAGATTTATATATACATGTTTATATTAAAAATAGCGCTTAAAATATATTTCTAATAATTAAAGACTTCAAGTAATCAGACCATATTCAACTTTGAAAAATAAAAT